AAAAATGTTACAAAAACCGGGTACCAGTATAAAATCAACAGTATAGTATGATATTGGTATTATACATTATCGATAGATGAGTAGTTTTTTATATGAAGATTTGAAAATATTTAGAGTGGAGCATTTTTTAATATCATGTGGTAGAGCATTCCAAAGATTAGGACCCAGATAGCGAAGGGAAAGTTTAGAGCATTTAGGGATATGAAAATAATGCAATTGTCTTGTGTAATGATGATGAATATTAATGTTGATATCAAACAAGTCTTGAAATAGATTTTTTGGAAGACTGGGGTGCTTATTAAAGATTTTGTACATGAACTGACCAGTACAATATCTGTTGACATCAAAAATATTTAATATTCTAAGATCTTTAAATAGGGGAGCGGAGTGAGAAAGTCTATCCTTATTTAAAGCTAGCCTTAAGAATTGTTTCTGCAGTTTATGTAGACGATCATAAAATGATTTAAATGTGTTACCCCAGATTATGTTGCAATAATTTAATTGAGAGTGTATCAATGAGTAGTAAATTGTTTTGAAACTGTCTATTTGAAGTAGATTTTTAATGTGATAAAGAGAACCAATGACGCGAGAAATCTTTGTTTCAACAGATTTTATGTGCTCTTTAAATTTCAAGTTTTTATCAATAATAATTCCAAGAAAGTCAATTTTTTCCCGGAAATTTATGTTCTCATTGCGTATTTTAAGATTCAGATTTGTTTGATTTTTTTGGGGTCCAAATAGAATAGCATTGGTTTTGCCAATATTAAGTGAAAGTTTGTTTGCTTTTATCCAGTCATCTATTGAATTCAAGTTAGCATTAGTTCTAGTCATAAGTTCATTTAAATCATAATCACTATCAAGAAGATTGGTGTCATCAGCAAACATAATAAATTTTAGATTAGGGGCAACAAAAGGCAGATCATTTATGTAAAGAATAAATAATAGTGGTCCAAGTACCGAGCCCTGCGGAACACCACAATTTAGAGATGATTGTTTAGATTCATAATTGTTAATGGTGACATATTGTTTGCGGTCTTTTAAATAACTTACAAACCAGGACTTAGCTATTCCTCTGATGCCATAATATTCAAGTTTTTGTATCAAAATGTCATGATTAATTGTGTCAAAGGCCTTGGAAAAATCTAATGTTATGCCAATGCTCATTTTCCCCAAATCAGTTGATTTTCAAATTTGTTCAATGAAATATAAAATGGCCATGTAGGTAGAGTTGAATTTCTGAAATCCAAATTGATAAGTAAAAATAATTTCAAAATGTTCTAAAAAACCAGTGAGTTTGGCGTGCATGAGCTTTTCTAACAATTTAGAAAATACAGATAAAACTGAAATTGGTCTATAGTTCGAAGGATTTGTAGTGACACCTTTTTTAAATACAGGTGTTACTTTGGCCAATTTGAGGGCGTCTGGGAAAATACCAGATTTAAAAGATAAGTTAAATATATACAAGAGTGGATCAATTAAAAACTGTCTTGCAGACTTAATAAGTGATGGTAGAATCCCATCAGGTCCAGGCGAGGAAGATTTTAGAAGACACATTTCTAATTCAAGCTCAGTTTTTGAGGTCTTTTTGAGATAAATAGATGATTGAACTTTTTGAGCTCTTGCTAGGTATTCATTAAAGCATTTTTGGGATTTTGGAATCTCCTTGGCTAGATTTTTACCAATATTGGTAAAAAAATTATTAAATCCATTGGAAATGATTTCATGATCTGTTGTTTCCAACAGTATAGAGTTTAGTGGACATACTGTATAGAGTTTAGTGGACATACTGTAGTATATATAGTCTTCAACTTATTGGCATTGGTGTTCGGTGGTCGGTGTTCAGCTTTCAGCGTCTGTAACCAATGGCAGATAGTGACATTTTGCACGTTAATGCCTATTCTAATCTGACCATTATGAGCTTTTCGACTCAATATTATATAAATAAAGGTGTCTATGTGGACTGACTTGTTGTAAATGGTAGTTGAGTGCAATATGTTCAACTCTGTAAAAGTCAATGTTAATAATCGCCATGGTTCTTTTGTAGGTTGCCTTAGTAACATTCAGTACAGAGGCTGATATCCAATTTGGCTTTGAGCAGTATTACACTAAGGAGGGTGTCCTGAGGGGTCTAGACAGAACAGACTACTATGGGGGCAGCACAAACACCGGAGAGGGCTTCCAAGTGTTGAATGAAGACGTGTTTTATGGAAAGGATCGCAAAAACAGACCTAATATTGTTATACTTATTGTGGATGGAGAATCAAATATCAACCCTGAAGTTACATTGAGTGAGGTATGAGATTGGAAAGGAGCCCTAAAGCTCATGAGCCACATCTGTATATCATATACACAAGGCAATTTTTGTATTGGTTACAGTTCATCATATTATGATGTTACACATGTTTTTAGACCCATTTTGAAATATTTAACTGAACCATTAAATGTATTTAATATTAATATATTGAACATACATGGTGCTCAGCATTTTCTGATGTCATATATTATTAGCATGTAATGCTTAATCATTGAACTGTATACTGTATATGATATAATTTATCATTTAAAGTAAAGATATGTAAGCTAGGTATTTATTCAATGTGTATTTCAGTCGAGAAAGCTGCGTAACTCTGGTGTTAAGATTATAGGTATTGGAGTGAACATGTCAAACAGAACTGAAGAACTGCAGAAAATAGTCAATGACCCATCATCAGTCTTCTTGGTAAGTATGTTTTACTCTGCTGCTCAGCCCACTTTATGGGTCAGCTGTCAAAAATTCTCTCGAGTGACCATGGGATGACGAGACGCTAGCTATCTGTAATCTCAAAATGAAATTTTCATTCAGTTGTGAAAGCTATGACGTGTCGCAAAAAGGTGGCGCATTTGTTTTTTAAGAGTATCGCGTGAATGTAACTTTGATTCCTGGGATTATAAGATAATATTCTAATTAAAGTTATATATCATTTTAAAGCTTGCTCCTAAACTCTAGTTTATTAATAAATAGTTGATTTTGTTCACAAAAGTATGTGTTTTCTGTTGTATGTGGAAAAGTGGAGGACGAAAGGTTTTCAAAATTCATTAAAATAGGGCTAATTTACGCCATTCACCTATTTTCAAGCACAGCAACACGTATATTTATT